AGCCTTCAATTTTCTCTGGTCTTCCCGATTCGTTTTTATTCGCACCTTTTGACATTATGACGTGTATGCGCGCACTTTTGTTGCTATAGCTTGTAGTTGTAGTCAATAGATTTTCCATTCTTTTTTTTTTTTGTATCGTGTTCCTGACGAAGCCTTTTACAGGGCGAAACGTAGAACCTGTATTAAATTTGAAAAATCTACTAAGTACTAAGTCTCAACCCCTTTTTTATTCCCTGCTACCTACAATGATGATGATGATGATGATGATGATGATGATGATGATGATGATGATGTTTGGCCACCCATGTCCCGCCTGTTCTCGACTTCCACCTCTGTGGTATGGACAGAGTTGATAAAGTGCTTCAGTCACCCGGCATACTGTACTGTGATAACCTGTCTATTTCACCCGCTCTGTGCAGTAATGTTTGAATGGCGTCGTGATGAAATCAGGCGCTCGGAAAATTGCCGGTTTCTAGTTTTTTTTCGATTTTATTGGTATAATTTTAAAACATTGAAGAAACTAAGACTAAGAACCATTATTTTTTTGCATATATTTCCGCCCTTTGGGCAATTTTAAAAAACATGAATTATATTTTTGAGATCAACACAAATAAAAAAGACATTTCCGTTTGTTTTTTTTAACTGAAATAAAACTTTGATCAAACGCACACAAACAACCACACGCACACACTAAGTGTATATCTTAGCAACTCAAAGTGGCAAAAAATATGTCAGCTAGAACTTTGGAGTTCGGAGATTATGAAATGAACAAACTTCAAGATATCAACAACTAACATTACTAACAACTCTGTATACCCTACTAAAATAGACGAGCGCCTGATTCCTCTGTGTCGAGACACAATTTTATTCTACGATGATATCTACTGTCTCGAAGTGAGATAGGTTTGACTGATCAGTGATAGCCAAATGCCTGGGTCAGAGAAAGTGTAGAGCAATCATCATCGTCATCATCATGCACGTCTTGAGTGCTTTAGCCGTGATTACAAACCATTTTTGCTTGTTTGAATAAATAGGAACACATCGACACAAAAACGGTCATTTTGAGCTGGGAAAAAATACAAAGAGACACGACAGACAGACAGAAACAAGTGGGTGGTTGACGGGTGCTCTGGTGTGGTTTGCTTCTTCTTTTCTATGAAACATCTATCGTCCTTATCTCCCCCTCTTCTTTCTTCTTTTTTGTGTTTGTTACTCTCTTTTGTAACACCTCTAATCTTCTGGCGCTTATACTTATATGACCTTAAGCTGTTGCGAGCACCGTAAAACCTCTACTAAAACTAAAAAGGCAGAAACAAAAGAAGGAAAGTAAAGAAAAAGAAGTAGGAGAGAGATACAACAGAAAGAAAAAAAAGAAAAAAAAGAAGTAGGACAGAAGATAAAACAGTATTTTAAAAAATGAAGAAAAAGAAGTAGGTAGGACTTACTAGACTAGTGGCACCCACCAACCACCCGCACAAGTCGCGGACAAAGCACTTCGGAGCACTAGTAGAATCTTGACGTCATCATTATCATCATAGACCTATCACTATCACTTGCTGCCATTATCAGTCAATGTGAAATGATTTATTTGGCGCACCTTTTAGTTGTTGTTTTTTTTGTTGTATTGTTCGTTTGTTGGTGGGTTTTGAGTGTGTGTGTGTGTATGTGTGTGTGTGTGTGTGTGTGTGTGTGTATGTGTGTGCGTGGAAGTGTGTGTGTGCGTGGAAGTGTGTGCGTGCGTGGAAGTGTGTGTGTGTGTGTGTGTGTGTGTGTGTGTGTGTGTGTGTGTGTGTGTGTGTGGGCGCGAGGAGAGGAGATTGTTTTTTTGTTTTTTTTAATGTTATTTGTCTTTGTCGAGTTTTTATCTTTTCGTTTGCTATTTGTTTTGCTTTGGTTTGGGGGTTATTGGTTTTTGACGGGGTTTTTTTTTCGCTGTTTGGTTTCTTTTTGCTTTGTTTTGTTTTTGGGGTTGTTTTTGCCTTTCTCGGTTATTTTTGTTTGGTTTCTTTTCTACTTGTTTTCATTTATTTCTTTGAAGTGGGGGGGGGTCTTTTGTTCGTTTATATGGGTCTTTGTGGCTCTCTAACGGGATCGCCTTGAAATTATTTTGAGGTTTTGTTAATCTAGTTAGCAGCCTTTGGCTTGAGCATGTGCCCATCGGCCTAGCCTCATGCCAAGTTTAACCCTATCTGTACGCCCTGGGGTCATTTTGTATCCCCGGGGTTGTATTCTTCACATTGTAGAATACTTCCAAAATACATTCCAAAATGGGAAGTTGGAGGGGGGGGGGGAATTGTGGTATCTATGAAAGTACGACATGTATGACGATGGTATTGAGGAATAATCCTATATGGCCTCAAACATTTACTGAATTATGTTTACTTTTAGTAAGAGTTTTACGGCACTTGCAATACTACAAGGTCATGTCAGTGCCGAAGATTTAGTTTTCGTAAGAGTTACGGCTCTTGCAACACAATAAGGTCATATAAGTGCCGAAGATTAGATGTGTTACAAGAGAGTAACAAACACAAAAAAGGAGGGGAGATAAGGACCACAGGTGTTTGATAGAAAAGAAGGAGCAAACCACACCAGAGCACCCGCCAACCACCTACTACCTCTATAAAATTTGTAGTTAGTTATAGTAAGAGTTTTACTGCACTTGCAACACAATAAGGTCATATAAGCGCCGCAGATTAGAAGTGTTACAAGAGAGTAACAAAAACACAAAAAAGAAGGATGGGAGATAATGACGATAGTTGATTGATAGGAAAGAAGAAGCAAACCACACCAGAACACCCACCAACCACCCACTCACACACAAACAACAGTTGACAGAAATGGGCAGGGTACAGGAAATATGAGAAACGAACAAAAAAATAATTAAAAAAACAAAAACAACAACAAACAAAAAAACCAAACCAAACAACTCTCTCTCGGCTCATTCTCATAGATATTTATTTGTCAAAGACAGAATATTGCATCATCTTAGAACCAGTGGACTTTGCCTCACATGATGTTATTGGAACATAGAGGCAAAATATGAACATCAACATAATCATCTTATCAATCAGTCTCTGAATTTCTTTGCAAAAGAGTCGAGGAATACTAAAAAAACCCACCTTTTTACAGTCAAACTGCGTTGTACCAAACACTTTGGTGGAATGAGCCTGAAGTTGGCAGTAAAATGGGGTTTGTGTGTCTGAAAATCTTTTGTGAGGCATCGTGGTGAAATCAGGCGCTCGTCAAATTAATGAAATCTGAGAAATCTGCATTTTTTGGTGTCCATTCAGAAACATTTTTAAGTGTGGATTTTATGAAAAAACGAATAAAAGAACAAAAAAAGTAAATTTGCAGTTTCCAAGGACTCTTAAGCCATAGCAGTCGCCTAACTTTGGCGGCCATTTTCTCGTTAATTTTACTTCTGAAACTAGGCGACCCCACCTCCTTCAATCGCAAATTATCTCGACTTCTATTCAAGATATTTTTTTCCGTCGAAAGCAAGGCAAGTGAACAACCTTTATGATTACACCAATACCTCCATATGCCCAAATATTACGAGTGCCTGACTCCACCACATAGTGACAAATTTCATAAGACTATTTAAAATCACAGTCGAACCTGCTCAAACTGCCGCTACTTCCCATATCTCCCCTTGCGCCATTTATATATTATAATTTCTTCTTCTTCTTCCTCGTTCTCGAATATATCATAATGACACCGTGCAAGACGGCCACCTGAGAAGCCCCTTTTCTCCTCAGCAATGGACGAACCTCTCAGACAACAAGTTCAACTGTATTGTAACCTTTCCAGGTCCATGCTGGTATCTATACATATTATATTCGTGAAAGTTCGTCACTTTGGCCGCCTAAAACTTCCAAACCACTTAATTTTTTAATTTGAAAAAAATTAACGATGGTTCAGAATCATTTAAAGGGTGCACAGTTTTATTGAGGAGTCTGAAGTCACTGTAGTCTAATTTTCATTTTTTCATTAGTTTCGCCTTTCAACCACCCCCGCCCCCCAACCTCATTTTATAAAAGGCCAGGTCATGTTATCGTGCGATAAGTCGGCGAGTATATACAGTACTGACTTCAGCTCACATTTCTCTCCCCCCGACCACAACATATAAAGATGCCATTGCTATTTACAAGACACAGAGGTCAGAGTTCAGGGGTCAGTAGCCAAACATGTACTCCTTGAACTTAGAGACCAGGCCGGCATCTCTCTTGGGCGTCTGCTTGTCTCTCAGTACCTGGTCAGACACAGAATTTTAGGGTTCAAAAAAAGTTTTAGTAACAGTTTTACGGCACTTGGAACACAATAAGGTCACATAAGTGCCGAAGATTAGAGGTGCTACAAGAAAGAGAGTAACAAACATAAAAAAGAAGAAGGGGAGATCAGGACGATAGATGTTTGATAGAAAAGAAGGAGCAAAATACACCAGAGCACCCGCCAACCACTCACGAATTTTAGTTGGTTTTTAAAAAGTTTTAGTAAGAGTTTTAAATCACTTGCAACACAAATAGGTTTTAAAAAAGTGTCAAAGACTAGAGGTGTTAGTATTATCAGACAGTATCATACAAAGAAAAGAGAGACGAGAGAGAAGGACAAAAGGTGTTTCATAGAGAGGAAGGAACAAACCGCACCTGTACGCCTGCCCGTTTTTTCGTTTAAGTAGAGGTTTTACGGCGCTCGCAACTGCATAAGGTCATATGAGCGCCAGAAGATTAGAGGTGTTACAAGAGAGTAACAAACATTTAAAAAAGAAGAAGGGGAGATAAGGACGATAGATGTTTGATAGGAAAGTAGAAGCAAACCACACCAGAGCACCCGCCAACCACCCACCCCTGACAAAAGGACAGACAAACAACGTCACAAACAAAAATGACAGACAGACACAGGGAAATTCATAGTTAATTATTGCCTCCGTTTTTAGATTTAGTAACAATTTTTTACGGCATTTGCAACTCAATTAGGTCATATGCAAGTAAGTGCCAAAGATTCGAGGTGTCAGTAAAAAGTAACGAAAACACAAAGAAAAGAATGATGAGAGATAAGGGCGACAGAATGCTTCGTTAGAAAGAAGGAGCAAACCCCACCAGAGCACGCGTCAAACACCCACCAGTCATTTCTAGTGGGGGGGCAGCAAGACAGACAGACAGACAGAAACAACAGAGGGAGAAAAAACAAAACAAGTAGGACCTATCGGCAGCATCCTCCTTTAGTTTAAGTAAGTGTTTTACGACACTTTCAACACAATAAGGTCATATAAGTGCCGACGAAGATTAGAGGAGTTAACAAGAGAGTAACAAACACAAAAAAGGAGGAGAGATAAGGACGACAGATGTTTGATAGGAAAGAAGAAGCAAACCACACCGGAGCACCCGCCAACCACCCATGCAGCATCCTCTAACCACCTGCTTGGTCAGCAGATGTCATAGAGGTACAACAGTTATTGGTATTTTTAGTTCGTTTGAGTACAGAGTATGAGAAGCACACTGACAGAGTAACCATCCTTAAGTGCAGAGGAAAAGAAAGGGCAGACAGACTAAAGACTGCAAAGGGAAAGAACATATATATTAAAAAATAACAATAGTAATAATAATGATGATAATAATAAAAATAATAATAATGAAGATGATAGTAATAGTGATGATAATAACAATAACGGTGATGATAATATAATAACAATAATTGAATTTATAAAGGACATATTATCCATGCTTCTTAACATGAACTATGAGCTTTAGAATTATTACAACTTCAGCAGCCCCTAGAACACTCAGAAACATTCTTTGTTTTCCGGGAAGCATACAGTGCAAGCTATGGATTGCACATGCTCAAACACTAACAAACCGACCAGAATTTTTGCTGTCTATAGCCGGGAATCCATTCCCACCTTGGGTGAAGTGAGGAAATTTCGAGTAAAGAGCCTTTCCCAAGGACACAATGTTGGGCCATTGATGGGATTCGAACATACAACCTTTTGACCAAGAGTCCGGGAATTCAACCACTAGAGCATGAAAAGAAAAGCAACACAGCACTACAGCAGGCTTGCCAACCTTTTCGAAACCCAAACAGGGTGAGCCAACTCTATAATATGTGTCACGACGTGCTGGAATCAGGCGCTCGTCAATTTTTGGGCATGCGGAGTTATTGGTGTCATATTAAAGCTTGCTCATTTGTCTTGCTTTCAATGAAAAAAATATCCATTTATCTTGGATACAAGTTGAGATACTGGCAATTGAAGGAGGTGGGGATCACCTGATTTGAGGAGTAAAATTTGCAAGAAAATGGCCACCAAAGTTTAGTTATTTCCTTAGCTTGAGAGTCTGTGGAAACTGATAATTTACATTTTCTGTGCCTTTAATCAGTGTTTTTCAATATAACCCAAACAGAAATGTGTTCTTAAATGGACATAGAAGGTATTGAGCCAAAAAACAAAAATTCGGTAAAATTCCTAAACCTGCGGGAAAGTGCCAGTTTCTTCGTTTTCATTATTATGACGAGCGCCTGATTTCCCCATATAACTTCAGAAGAGAAGACCTAAAATCAAACAAAACTACAGGTGTATAAAGTGAAACTGGTTTCAGCGCAGTGAACGGGATAAAACTCTCACATGTATTTGCCATTCCCGCAATCGGGACAACCCCAGTAAATCTGGGAACGTTGACAAGCCAGCCTGCAACAGTTACACAAAGTCAGAGGTCAATCAGCCACACCCACCTCATACTCTCCCCTGGAGGCCACGTAGGCAGCGGTCAGAGGTCGTATCGGGGTCAGTTTGCTTGAGTTGAGTTCGCCGGGGGAGTGGATCGAGTCCTCGACGGCCAGCGACCTCGACATGTAGCTGTTCTCCTTCTCCTCCATCACGCTCTGAGAGAACACACGGGCACATGAGAAACACTCACACAATCAGTTAATAAGTTTTGTTTTTAATAGTATGAGTTTTTTGTTTCAGAAGAGATTTTACGGCGTTCGCAACTGCATAAGGTCATATGAGCGCCAAGGGATGGATGTCAACAGAGAAGTCCTTACAGGGAATCAGACTTACTCTGCTCACCTCTCTAGCTTCAACAGCACAAAGTCTGCTTCGACTATCAAGGCACCCCGGAAATAGCAGGTCACAAGAGTGTGACAAATATACAAAAGAAGTAGAGGAAAAAAAATGACGATAGTAAGGATTACGAAAGAAAAAGCAGCAGTTCAGTTCCCTGCTGCAGTTCAGGCACAATTATGAGCATGACATTGATGGATCGGCCCATTTACAGTTACAATTCTCCTGTACATAAAAACTCCAGATGTTAATGTCCCCCCTTTTGGAATGGCCTAAAAACACTTCAGTCAGTAGCACCGCCCCGGGGGGTGATGATAATAATAAGTGTTTTACGGCACATTTGAACTCAATAAGTCAGTAAGGTCATGTTGTAGTAAGATGTTTGTTTGTGCTTTAGTAAGGTTTTACGGCGCTCGCAACTGCATAAGGTCATATGAGCGCCAGTTAGTAAGATTTTTACAGCACTTGCAACACAGTAAAGTCATATAAGTGCCGAAGATTAGAGGAGTTACAAGAGAGCAACACACATGTAAAAAAAAAAAGGAAGAGAAGAGATCAGGATGATAGATGTTACAATAAGGTCAAATAAGTGCCGAAGATTAGAGGTGTTGCAAGAGAGTATCAAAAACAAAAAAGGAGGAGAGATAACAACGATAGGAGATTAACAGTAGAGGAAGAACAAGTATCAAACATAAAAAAGGAGGAGATGTATAACAACGATAGGAGTTTGATAGGAGAGAGAAGGGGCAAGCCATACAAGAGCACATGATTTTATAAGAACTGACTCATGACTTTATAACAACTGACATGTAAATTTATAACAACAGACACTTTTTTAAAATAACAACTGACACGTGATTTTAGTTTTAGTTTTTTTAGTAAGTGTTCTACGGCACTTGCAACACAATAAGGTCATATAAGTGCCGAAGATGACAGGCGTTACAAGAGAGTAACAAACACAAAAAAGATGGAGGGGAGATAAAGACGATAGATGTTCGATAAGAAAGAAAGAGCAAACCACACCAGAGCACCCGCCAACCACCCACTTATTAGAACTGACTCATGACTATATAACAACTGACACGTAAATTTATAACAACTGACACTTTTTAAAAAATAACAACTGACACATCATTTTATAGCAAAGGACTCATGACTTTATGACAAATGAAACATGATGTTATGACAACTGACTTACTCATGATTTTTATTTAATAACAACTGACACATTTTTAAAAAAATGAAAACTGACAGGAGATTTTATCCGACGTACCTTCTCGATGCACGGTGTGACTCCAATCTTCATGCAGCCGCCGAAGACTTTTCCATCTTTGCTCAAAGCCTTCTTGGCCTGAATCTTGGACAGATAGTGGAGGTGCATCCAGTTGCATTCCGAGGCCACCTGGAGGTGGAGAGTGAGGAAGGGGGGAGTGAAGAGGGAGAGGTGGAGGGGTGGGGAGTGAGGCGGAGGAGAGAGAGAGAGGGCGAGGGAGAGGGAAAGAGGGGGAGGAAAAGAGAGGGGAGGGGGAGGAGAAAAGAGGGGATGGAGAGGAAGAGGTGGAGGGGGAAAGTAGAGAAGGAGGGGAGAGCTTTAGTTTGAGTAAACAGGGGTACACTGACACTTGAGTTTGAGTAAAGAGACGCACATCGACACAATCATAATCATTTTGTTAAGTTTTAGTAAGTGTCTTACGGCACTTGCAACACAATACAATAAGGTCATATAAGTGCCGAAGTGTAACAAACACAAAAAAGGAGGGGAGATAAAGACGATAGATGTTTGATAGGAAAGAAGAAGCAAACCACACCAGAGCACCCGTCAACCACCAACAGTCATTTTGTGCTCAGGAAAAAGTAAGACAGACAGACAGAAACAACAGAGAGGAAAGAAAAGAAGTTGGACCGACCAGTGGCGTCCTCCAGCCACCTGTGTACATCGCCACAATAACTGCCCCCCATCTAGTGCTTGGATAAAGCAAGAAAGACGTCCAAAAGCACAGGGAAAGAAAAGAACTGAGATCTACCAGTGGGGAAAGAGAAATTTTAGTTTCAGTTTTAGTAACAGTTTCACAGCACTCGCAATACAAAGAGGTCATATGAGTGTCGTGAAGATTAGAGGTGTTACTAGAGAGAAACAAACACAAAAAAGGAGGAGAGATCAGAACAATAGATAATTGATAGGAAAAAAGTAGCAAACCACACCAGAGCACCCGTCAACCAACCAATTCAGTCTCTGTGAATGAGTGCAACACTGTCTCTCTGAGACTAACGAATAAGCGCACCGCTGTCTTTCGTTGCATGCTCCAACCATCTCTGTGTCACTGAGTGCATGGTAAGTGTACTCACCACATGTTTGAGCACCGTTCCGTACTGGGAAAACTGTTGTAGAATGAAAGACGTAGCACCAGGCGGGAATCTGAAACATTAAAGGTCCATTTAATTTTAGTAAGCGTTTTGCGGCACTTGCAACACAATAAGGTCATATAAGAGCCGAAGATTAGAGGAGTTACAAGAGAGTAACAAACACAAAAAAAGGAGGGGAGATAAAGACCATAGATGTTTGGTAGGAAAGAAGAAACAAACCACACCAGAGCACCCGCCAACTACCCACTTACTAAGCGTTTAACAGCACTTGCAACACAAATACGTCATATAAGTGCCAAAGAGAGGGTTAATAGACTACTTAGAGAGCAACAAGCAAACCAAAAAAAAAGCTGAACACACGGAAAAATAAAGAAAATGATAAACAGCCAACGCACAAAAACACAAATCAACACATTAAAAGACACAGAATATGATAAACATCCAATACACACACACAAATTTTCATCTTTTTAAAAAATGCAGACGCTTTTAAGCTCCCATTGACACAATTTAGATCATTAAGGAGGCGGGCTTCCGACCCTGCCTGTCAGGGTCAAACCGGGTTAAGAGGGATACAACACCCCAGCAGAAAGACCAAGATACTTTACAAGAACTTCTTCCCACTCGGGTATCGAACTCAGGTCTTTTACATGCCACAGTGAAACGCCTAGGCACTACATCACAGACTCCGGTTACACACATAAATGAGCACACAGAAAAACACAGAAAACGAGAAGCATCCGACACACACATCCACAATAAAAATACACAAAGAGACCAACCCAAAGACAGTGACCCATGTCTCATCCAGCTGGTCATCCGATTTCAAATCTCTGAAAAAGAAAAAAACAAAAAAAACACGTCAAACAAATCAAAATAAAAATGTAGCCAAAAAAACACTTGCTGCTCTCAGCATAATACAGTCGAACCTGCTCTTTTTTTTTTAGTAGAAGTTTTACGGCGCTCGCAACTGCATAAGGTCATATGAGCGCCAGAAGATTAGGGGTGTTACAAGAGAGTAACAAACATAAAAAAAGAAGAAGGACGATAGATGTTTGATAGGAAAGAAGAAGCAAACCACACCAGAGCACCCGCCAACCACCCATATGCTCTGACTGCCCCACATATCGAAGACAATCAGCTCTACAAATGGCAACTTCTTATTCATCCCCCCCCCCCCATTTTTCCCATAATATAATAAAGACACTGTTCAAGACACCCACCCTTCTAGGATAACCGCTCTTCTCCTCAACAATGAGAGGTCTTCTTGGACAATTTCGACTTACAAAAAAACCCCCCAAAAAACACAAAGCAGCAAAACAACACAACGAGGGTTACCTAGAGCTGGGGAAAAAGCAAGAAAAATAGACAGAAAATGACAAACAGAAAAGAAACGAACCAAAAAACCCTACCAGAGGCACCCTCCAACCAACCGCTTACCCCTTTAAAAAATATTTTTTATAGTAGAGGGTTTTACGGCGCTCATAACTGCATAAGGTCATATGAACGCCATCCGCTTACCCCTGTGTGTAGAAAGGATCCGCCTGCGCTGGGGACAACGGCATCGTCTGGGGCACACCCAGACCAGACACGCTTGTGTCGCCACGGGAACCACCGGGCATCTGGAACAGACCTGGACGTAGACGGAGACAGTGTAGAGAAATCATTTACATATTGAGAACATCCAGTCTGGTCATTCAACAACATTTAAAGACGTGCCGTTTTAGGGTACTTTAACAAAAAATTAAATTAACACAAACCTTCCCCCCCCCCTCCCCAACATCTCCCTTATTTATATATACAGATTTTTCAATGCTGTGTCCTCCATAATCTGAAACATGAAAGGACAAGCACAAAAATTGAGTACCAGGAAAGGTGCAAATTCACATTTCTTATTTGTGTATCATGGTTATTTTGAAAATATGACAAAACATCGTCCTTAGTCTGCAGATGATGGTATACGTGTCCCCTACATCCTTAAAAAATTAGACATGTAAAAAACAACAGATAGATTTACTGAGATATTGCCATTGTAAACAACCAAGAGAAATTTCTCTCCGTGAGATGAATAAAGATTGTCATTGTCAATACCATGGGTCTCAATTCAGAAATTTAAAAAAAGGAGGAATTTTGCGTGTGATCGAGATAGACGACCATTTTCACCAGATACCCATTATTATTATACTGTTTAACCCCAGAAAGCTGAAATATAAACCATCAATTTATCAAAGGAAGGTTATTTCATACCAATTTGAGGGTTTGGAAGATAATGGAACGTTCATACAGACCTATGCCGTCGACCTGACACTACAGTGGATACCTGGCCACAGCAACATCCCATGAAACGACAGAGCAGACACCCTTGCCAAGAAGGGAGCAACACAAACACAACCACACAACCCAGTATCACAACAGACAGCCAAGAACATCATCAAATGCAACATCAGGGAACAGTGGCTGAATGGATGGGCAATGGGCAAAACTGGAAGAACTGTATTTGCACACATGACAGTCCCCAACTCTAAAGATACAATAAATTCCCTGAGTAGAAGAGAACAAGTCACGATATTTCGCCTGCGAACACAACACATACCACTAAATTCCTACCTTAATAGGATCTGCAAGGATACCCCACCCGACTGCCCGTTGTGCTACTGCCAGGATGAAACAATACCACACCACCTCTTTAACTGCCCAGCACTTTGTGATCTGCGTAGCACCTACCTACCTGCCTCCCCAGACATCGGAAACACTCTATGCAGCGACAAAGCACAGCTGATTAAAACCTGTCAATTCTTTGCCATATCGACAGACCGAAGGGCTAGAACCCAAATGGCCGCTGGATCGGAAAAGTAAAGTAAAAAGAAGATAATTCAAGTAAAAGAGCCACTTATCAAATATTATTTACGATCTCGATTATGTACAGAAAGTGGTGGCGCATTACTGGGAGGGGTGGGAGGGGCCCCACCCAGCAGTCTCCCCCCACCCAGCAGTGGAGATTAACAGAGGAAATCTGCTAAATAGCGGAATACTGAGGCCCATGCAATATAGACAGCTGATACTGTAATTTCTATTAGTTTACTGTCTAATGAGACACTAATAAAACATTCAGAAGGTGGGCTTCAAACTACAAGTTTCTGCCATTGACCTACCAGTGGTGGGTGGGGCCAGTGACCTACATGTGGTGGGCGGGGTCAGTGACCTACCTGTCGTGGGCGGGGCAGGAGATGATACAGACAGATTTCTCAGGGCAGGAGATGACTGGGAATGTCCATGGACAGCAAAGCCCCCCTGAGGACAAGGAATGAATGAATGAATGGAGGAGGGTGAATGGATGAACGAGTGAGTAAGCGAGTGCATAAATGAGTGAGTGAAGGAGTGAATGAATAAATAAAACATTTATTGATCTCTATTGATCTTTCTTACTACTGCTACACAGCATGAATGCAGCTTTCACTCTGCCTCCCCCCCTCTCTTTCTCTCTCTCTCTCTCTGCGGCTGCCATGGTCTGAGGGCTACTCATACATAAAATGTAAAAAACATAAGACGTCGTGACAAGATGGCTATAAAATTGAAAAATAAAACAACCAAAACAACAACAAGAAAACCAAAAAAAACACACACCTGAACACTGGTATCGGCTGCAGAACTGGAGTAGAGGCTCTTCACTGGAGGGCCACCGACTTTGCGAGTGGAGTCACGTCTGAAATAGAAACAGAAACAGCCTGACAAGATTTTAAAAATTTGTTTTTCCCAATATTTATGTGTTTTCATGCCTTCATCAACACTATTCAGACCAATTAGGGGCAGGGTGGGCTGCCGACCCTGGTTTTCAGTGCCAACACGTCTTGAGAGGGATACAATATCCCATCCAGCACAAAGACTGAGACACTCAGTAAAAATTCTACCCTCTTGGGAATTGAACCAAAGTCTCCTGTGTGTGACAGAAAAGCACGCACTTAACTGCTACACCACAGATACCACTCCTAACAAGTTAGTTTTGTTTTAGTAGAGGTATTACGGCACTCGCAACCGCATAAGGTCATATGAGTGCCAGAAGATTAGGTGCTACAAGAGAGTAATAAACATAAAAAAGAAGAAGGGGAGATAAGGATGATAGATGTTTCATAGGACAGAAGAAGCAAACCCCACCAGAGCACCCGCCAACCACTCACCCTAACAAGTTAAACTATCAAATCTGAGACAGATACATCCTAAGACACTCACGAGTTTGGAGTTTATTTGAGTTGAGTAAAGAGAAGCACAAAAATGTTCCATAAGTTTTCCAGCAATGAAAGACACACAGAGCCATAAGACATGAAATGTGGCCAACCCCCCACTAGTACGGACCAACAGAGGAACTAAGCAGTATGGCCCAGTACATGATAGATAATCATGATAATGGTCTTCAAATGTAATGTAATAAAGATGAAGAACAAGAAGAAAAAAGAAGACAGACAAGAGGAAGAGGAAGAAGAAGAAGAAGAAGAAGAAGAAGAAGAAGAAGAAGAAGAAGAAGAAGAAGTAGAAGTAATAGTAGTAGTAGTAGTAGTAGTAGTAGTAGTAATTTTATGGCACGTGCAAAATAAATAGGTCATATAAGTGCCAAAGGTCGGAGGTATTACAAGAAAGTAATATAGAAATTTTTTTTAAAAGGAGAGATACAACAGAGCACCCGCCATCCACCCACACTGTGAGACAGACAAAAACAGAAGCTGTTACCTGACGAGGCCAGGACCAGACGGTGTGAAGTGGACGGCCGATGACTTGGGTCCCGGGCTCTGACTGCTACCAGATGACCACAGACGTGGACTGGACTGATGAAAAATATATAAGACACACAAAGTTATAGACAAACCAAGGGCGAAATTGTCAAAAAGGAGCACCATTGTAAAGATAGAAATCCTCTTAACAATTACAGGCTGTAAAAATTATTATCATGTACACAATTTTCAGTTATCGATATGGACACAGTTCTTGAAGAAGAATCTAAGAAGAACGAAGAATCAAAGAAGAAGAATCAAAGAAGAAGTGAAGAAGAAGAAGAAGAAGAAGACTACGTACCACTGCATGGTGATGAGAGGGGTGGTCCCCTAGGAGATAACCGGGCAAGAACGGCGACGAGTGACTGGGAGCATGCTGGCCAGGACTTGAAGGGGATAGGGACATCATGGAGTCTGCAAGAGAGTTTAGTTTAAGTGTTTTACGGCACTTGCAACACAATAAGGCCATTATATATATAAGTGCCTAAGATTTGATTAGAGGTGTTACAAGAGAGTAACAAACACAAAAAAGAAGGAGGGGAGATAAAGACGATAGATTTTTTAAAGGAAAGAAGGAGCAAACCACATCAGAGCACCCGCCAACCACCCACCAGCCTTACAATTATTTTGGTAAGGCAAAATGATTTTTTAAATAAGTCTACGGAGGCTCCGGACGGCAATTAAAGACCGAAAGTGAGATGGCCGTAGCATCTTAGACTAAGACTTAGTAGACGACCAAATTAGTCAATTTGATCACCCACACTTATAGATAATATTCAGAAATTAGGAAAAACAGGTCTTGTTTCACACTGGGTGAGAATCATCAACGATGGCAAGTCTCACTTGGGGTGAGATGTTGATCGTATTTTTATTCTCACCCGGGATGATAATAATAATAGCCACTTCCTTTTCAGAAAAATAATACGATCTCCAATAATTTAAAAAAACTAGATTTAGATCCAGCTTATAATTTCAAGGAAAGTCTGTAGTCTCTGATAAAGCCTTGGTCAGGCTTAGTGTCTAGTCCAAACTTGAAACTAGGCTACCTCGAAGGCTCTTCATCTTCCTCCTTCCTCAACTTCATTTTCATCAACTCTGTCAGCAGTTCACTTCTAGATTAGATTCTAGATCTAGATCTAGGCTACTTTTACTATTCTAAAGGCCATGTTTCTTCTAACATAAAATCGAGATAAAACACACACCCATACAAACACTAAAGATCAAGACATAGGTTTAGAGTTTGATTCCTGGACAATAAAAGAGTGGAGAGACTAATTTTTGCTTTTCTGTGCTTACCGTGTCCATGTTGCATGCTGTCAGAACCGATGGAAAACATTTTGTCAACGCCTTCGATTCTATCCGATCAAAATACAAAACTCTTAAATACAGGTTACCCAGTTTTTGTTGACCAGATGCTCTCAACAATTACACTGTTAAAGTTACTATCATATGAGTGTATACAATTCTAAGTTGTCGAGGTGGCGAAGATCTTGTACCAGCCTACCACACAAAAATAGAACGAGTTCAAAATTTGATTTTCATCAAAGAAATTGTGTAGTTTTCATTGGGAGTGGCTTCCCTTTGTCTTCTTGTTATCGCTCGATTATTTGTAGCTCAGTTCAAGCAGTAAGACAATATTTACTTCTTTTTTTTCCTTCACATTCCAAACTGGGCCGGGTTTGTCACTAGATCTACTGTAAATACATGAAGAAATGAAAGAAAAGGTGGACGAATCTATTGGCTTTAAACGTGGCAAAACTTTGTAAACAGAAAGCCTCAGTTTTGGTTTGGATACTTGATCTAGAGTCGAACTGCTTTAAAAATTATCTCTTTCGGAGGCAGAAAATGCCCGTAAACGCTTTATTTCGCTTTTTGAGGACAATTCTTCAAGAAAATGAGACTTGAGACTTTTTGTTGACTCTGCACTGGACAATGATAAAACTATTTGATCATGATGCATCGATCGATCGTAATTTAAAGCTTCCTTTGATGACAAGAGGTGATATCGAAAAGGGGTAAATATAGGTGAAAACTTTAAGGAAATCATGGGAAAGCTTGAAGTAAAAAATCTACGGATTTTGTCATTGGCTCAGTGATTACGCGAAATTGTAGTCGCACGTTTGCTTGCCAGGGAATGATTCAGCGGAGCGTGGCGACTGGACTCTCTCGCGCTGTTGCTCTCTGCTGCCTTCTGTCACTCATGAACTGTACGCGTCACTGACAAACGTGTAGTCTGCTGCGTTCTTGCGTTGGCGTGAAGTAGTCTGTGTGTACACTTGTGTGAAGAAGGTCCTTTACACGTTCGACTATTGGGAACCTACTGTCTTCTAGTCTAGATCCAGATCAGGGTAGGCCTATAGTGAAACAAGTTGCTGGTGCATTTTGTGAGATGCATGCATTATTTGAATTCTTTGAAATGTTTCATAGTTAGATCTCTAGGTCTATTTAAAATCTGTAACTGTAACATCGATCCTCACCTTGGGAAAAAATCCTAATGTCTCTTTCTCTCTTCTCTTCCACTGTGGGAGATCTTGCTACACATCGATATGATACATTCGTGATATAGCTAATTATATATATATATATATATACTATATTTTAAATTTTAATTATAATTATAGTATAAGCCTATCCAGCCTCTCTATCATATAGATTCTACTTCATCTGAATTTTTTTATTACTATATTTTGAAAAGTGTGATTTTATTTGTTTAATAGGCCAACTTGGTTCATCAGTTTGTATAATTTTCGTTCTTGTTTTGTTGGGGGGTTTTTTTTCATAAACATCCCCAGCCTGCCTCCATGGGCTGGAACGTTAGACTGGTAAATCATGATTTAGAGTCAAACCTTTCCAAGTAGGAATTGTGAAGGAAGCTAGTTAAAAATTCGGTCATTGGCATTTGTTGTCTTGGATTAAGGGGAGGAGGAGGGGGGGGGTCCAGATGGCAAGCCTGTACGCAAAGATCTTGAGGACAACGGTCTCCTCTCCGGTGGCCTTTGTACACACAAAGGGGTCAATGGTCACCTATACGGTGGACAAACAGTGGGCAAAATTTAATCACATCTCGCAAATGCATTCCTCATTTAATTTAGGCTAAGCCTCAATGTGTCAATCTTACTATCCATTGCCACCTGCATCTGATAGGATCATATTTATATAATTATTGTTTGACCAGTGAAAACCAGAAATGACTGGATGTCTCCTGAAAAGCCAATTTTTCAAGATTGGGCAGGTTTCCATTTTATTACTTTACTTTACTGTTTACTTTACTTTTCCGATCCAGAGACCATTTGGATTCCAGCCCTTCGGTCTGCCGATATGGCAAAGAATTTACAGGTTTTTATCAGCTAGGTGCTTCCATTTTATAAAGGTGAATAGCCTTTTGACAAATTTACTTTTTTTTATAGGGGGGGGGAGGGGGGGGGAGATTCCATTATGACAGGTTTTCATTACGGCAGTTCGACTGATAAAACTTTTCTTGATCTCTGTTTTTAAACACAAGTATGTTCTGTGAGAAATATCTTAAGTTTTACATGTGGGTGGTTGGCGGATGCTCTGGTGTGGTTTGCTCCTCTTTCCTATCAATACTATCTATCGTCTTTATCTCTTTTCCTTCTTTTTTTATGTTTGTTACTCTCTTATTGTAATTCCTCAAGTCTTCAGTGCTTATACTTATATGACCTTATTGTGTTTCAAGTGCCGTAAAACTCTTACTAAAGAGTAAAACTAAAACTAAGTTTTACATGTTTACAACAGATCAGTGATTGGACAAGATTAAAGCTCAGGCCAACCATCCCACCGTCTCACCATCCCACCTTCTCACCATCCCACCATGGGCGTCTCTAGGCAGCTCCAGGGGATGTTTGTGCTCCTGTTTGTGGGCTATCTGGTCACTGTGTACTTACGACAAGCCGTGTCCTTCGCCTCACCCACCATCATGGAGTCAGAGCAGCTGAAGAACAGTGACATCGGTACGTCCTACGTACTTGATTTCTTTCCCTCTGTTGTTTCTGTCTGTCTTTCTTGCTTCTGTCATCATCCTCCAGTGCCAGATCTGCGACAGACATCGGCAATCATGGTTCTCCTTTCATTCTTTTGCTCGGATGCTCTTAAAAAAGCTAAGTTTCCCTGATCTTTCCCTTACTTATGTGTGTGAGTAAAGGAAAGATCAGGGAAACGTAGCGTTTCCCTGATCAGATTTCCCTTTGTCCTGTCAGTCATCCTTCTATCTCTCCTATGTCTTTTCCTTGTATGTTACTCTCTAGTAACACCTCTAATCTTCTGCACTTTTATGACCTTTATATGTTGCAAATACGGTACCATAAATCTCTTACTAGACCTTAATAAAAATTAAACTAAATAAAACTTTAATGTGTTGACTTGTTTCTTTTTACACAAATTCAAATTAAAAGCTTGGCTTTCTATATTCCCTGTGGATGGTTGCGGTGGTTACTCCGATGGGATTTGCTCAGGTCCTTTCCTATCCAATATCTGTCATCCTTTTCTCTCCTCCATCATTTTTATTGCATGTTACTCTCTAGCCATACCTCTAATTTTAATCTTCAGCACTTACATCATGACCTGTTTGTGTTGCAAGTGCTGTAAAACTCTCTTTTTTACTAAAAAAGTGAACTCATCAATTTTTGGGAACGTGGAGTTATTGGTATCATCTTAAAACTTGTTCATTGTCTTGCTTTTGTTGAAAAAAATACCCTTCTACCTTGAATAGAGGTGAGATATTTGCGATTGAAGGAGGTGGGGTCGCCTGGTTTCGGTGGTAAAATTAGTGAGAAAATGGCCGCCAAAGTTGCGTAACTTTAGTAGCTTGAGATTCCTTAAAAACTGAAAAATTGCATATTATTCTGTGCCTCAAATCTACATTTTTCAGAAATACATTTGGAAATGTGTTATAATAATAAAAGCTGTTGAGCCAAAAAACGAAATTTCGATAAAAATCACCAAACTGAAGGAAAAAATGCCTGTGTTTCTTCATTTTTATTAATTTGATGAGCGCCTAATTTCACCACGATGCCTCACATATTCTCTGTGTACTTATATGTCCAGGTTTAATGCTGAGCAGTCAGATGACGGGCTACATGGTAGTCAAGTTCCTGGGAGGGACGCTGGTGGACGTACTGGACCCGGGTCTTACCCTGTCGGTCAGTCTCTGTCTGGCCGGGCTGGCTGCTGCTGCCTTCACAGGTGAGGCTCGGTGGTTGGTGCATTGTGTGCAGCTGGCTCTGTCTCTTCTCACTCTTTCTTTCTCTCTCTTTCTCTCTCTCTCTTTCTCTCTCTCTCTCTCTCTCTCTCTCTCTCTCTCTCCCCCTCCCATCTCTCTCCTACACAAAAAAAACCTTTAAAATAAAGAATGATCTCTAACTACTCTTCATATTTGAATATTTGGATATTTGATGGTAAAGGCGAAAAAAGGGATGAGGGAATCGAAAAACACAGAGGGCCACATTAATACCCAAAAAACAAAAGCATTCCCCTCAGCATGATAATGGACAGGCTTCACTGAAAGAAGTACCCGTAACCGATGGTGTAAGCTACTTCATCACAAATTCTGGGGCTAGAAGAAGAATTCTCTTAACAGCAAGTTTTATCGAGCTCAGCTGGGGTAGATCTAGAGACATATTAATAAGACCACTAGTAGCGAGATGAATTACCTCTATGCGTCCTGACGGAAGGCAGCTGCCTGCTTCAGTGGCAGGGGAAGCAGGTACACATGGAGGCTTTTACCGTATCTGAAACATTTTTTCTTTATCTTTGGACCTGTCTTCTCGTAATTTTGCGAATTTCTTTGCTTGATGTAAGAGTCAATTTTATTGTTCGCTCCAACATTGTATGTTGGTTATGTGGTTAAAAGCGTGTTTGTGCTTACTTGAGTGTGCATGCGTATGTCTGTGTTTTTTTATGAGTATCCTTGTGTATGTACGTATGTGTATGATTAACCTTTCTACTGTGCGTTTACATGTGTGGGTATGCGCTCACGTGTGTGAGTGTGTGTGTGTATGTGTGTGTGTGTGTGTGTGTGTGTGTGTGTGTTTGTGTGTACGCGTGCGTTTGAGAGAGAGAGAGAGAG